GTCAGTGTTGCTAATATTATATCAGTTCGATTGCATTGAATTTAACACAAATAATAACCCTTAATATATGTTACATGTGTTTAATAAATTAGGAGAACTGTGAAGATTAAATTTTATGCTTTGCTTGCTCACCCAAATGAGCATAAAATACTCATGTTTTGTTTTGTTTCACAGTATAAATTATGCATGCAATGAAATAATAATATTATATGTGCTTTGTCAATTAAAGTTTTTGGCAGCCTAAATTTACATCACATACATCAATGTATGCACCCATGCATAAAAATAATTGGAGAAATTCTTTAAAACAAAAATCACACTTACAAAGGAAAACAGTTACCTAACAACTACAGGCAATTAAAGTAGTAGAATGTGAAAAAAGGAGTTGGTTTGCTTCATAAAAAAGACACACACACTCATAAACAGTACTATTCCAGAAAACAAGAAAGGCAAGCAATGGATTAAGGTAATCAAAAGACCAGAAATTAAAACTCAGAGAGACCAAGCTTCAGTCAACAAATGCTTGCCTCAAACCTTCTTTCTATCTGTTATTAAAAGCTTTAAAAACAACTACGACTACAAAGAGATGCAGGACTTTAGTAGCCTTGGTAGAAGATTTCAAACTAGCTTTGCATTGTCATCATTTGACCATGTTGGAGCTATCCTGACCTTTCTCCTCCTATAATCGTAGTCTGAATCAAACTCTGCTGTTCTGCCAGAACCAAATTATTTCAATCTGATTCAATGAAGAATCAGATTGCAGTGGTTCAAAACAGGATGACTTTTTTTGTTTAGGACTTCTTTTCCTTTATTTTTCATGTTTTAAAGTATTGCAGATTTACATGTTTAAAAGTGTGTTCTCTTCTACTGATAAAATTGTGGTATACCTATACACTATAACAACAGTGTGTGCTCATGGTGCTTTGTTTAAATTGTAAGAAAATTGAAAAATATTAAAATAGGAAGTTTATCACAATCAAAAACTGGGCTTTGTTTGTTTCTACTTTATAAATCATCTCACCACGTTCTATCAACATTCTCAGAGCATAATACATTTACCAGACATTTCAAAGATCAAATACCTTGTATTTGCCTCAAGGTAGATAGGTCAAATACAGTACTGCCTGTAAGATATTAAAAGAATACAAATTGTTTCTCTTTAATGAGTTAAGTTTAATTGCCGAGAGCTAAAATTCTTGATCGTGTCACTGGCTACCATTCTTTGCCCTGTAAAGGGGATTCACTAGATGGATTAATTGTCTTAATTAAAAGCTAATTAATGCCTTCCTGTGGGAGAGGAATGGTATCAGCTGCTCTTTACAAAGCCTTATTAATTACAAAACCTTACTAGTATTAATTACTGGTTACTCTCAAAACTCTTTTGTGGAGAAAAGGCTATATGATTCCAAGTTCTCCTGAATGAGATAGCTTCTTGAGATTATTATCAAATGGTTTTCAAGCCTTGTTGTCAGTACAAAAGCAAAGCATCATCAGCTTGATGATGCATCACTGGCCTATGTTTGATGACATCAACAACCATTTTATTCTATTTCTGCACTGTGAGTGATGAATTTAGATGCGTAGTGGTATGGTGGATCATTTTCTTCTTGTAGGTGATGATGCTGAAGGAAGAACTTTCACTCTATCATTTGAAGTACGGCAGGATTCTGTCTTGTTACCATGTTCTTAAAAATTAAATGAAGCTACAATCCAAAGATTTGGAGTCAAGTGATACTAGTGTTCTGGTGGGGCAGTAGAAATGCTGATTATAGGCTGGAAGAGAGAAAAATCAGCTGACATTAAGATCAGTTTCTTATCAATATTAAAACAGAAAAAAAACCAGCTCATTTTCAAACTCAGTTAAAGATACTGGTAATGATATATCATGCCCCAGCTACTTCATCAAGGAAATATTTTGAATTCACTTTTCAAAATTCATAATTTCTGACATGTTACTAACCAGGCTCCCTGGTATACAGAGACTCTCAGGGAAACACAATGGGAAAAACAACTAGAGTGCAGATAGTGGAAACTTGACTTCTATGTAACAAGACACAATATAGACAACATCTCCGTTTCTGTAAGGTGGCAGTACATGCAGTGAAGAAAATGTCCTTCTCTGCACATACTTCTCCTGCAGATTCATGTCCAGCTGAGTTGTTCAGAGTTGTGAGAGGTTTAAACTAGGTACCTGCCCTCCAAATCAATTGCTAGGACCTTCAATCGCTTACTGTGGTGCCTTTAAAAACATTTTGCAGGTAAAATTGCTTGCATAAGAGCATTTGCACAGCTTAGGCTCGTGCGCCAGCTGCGCCCGTACCTTGGGAAGTCTGACTTGGCCACAGTGGTACACGCTTTGGTCACATCCCGCCTCGACTACTGCAACGCTCTCTACGTGGGGCTGCCCTTGAAAACGGCCCGGAAGCTTCAGCTAGTCCAGCGCGCGGCAGCCATGTTGTTAACTGGAGCAGGACGCAGGGAGCGTACCACGCCCTTGTTGTCCCAGCTCCACTGGCTGCCGATTTGCTACCGGGCCCAATTTAAGGTGTTGGTGTTATCCTACAAAGCCCTAAACGGTTCCGGCCCAAAATACCTTGCGGACCGCATCTCGGCCTATAAGCCCACGAGGACCTTGAGATCATCTGGGGAGGCCCTTCTCTCAGTCCCGCCTGCCTCACAGGCACGCCTGGCGGGGACGAGAGAGAGGGCCTTTTCGGTGGTGGCCCCCCGGCTGTGGAACGCCCTCCCTGCTGAAATTAGACAGGCGCCCTCCCTCATGGCCTTTCGTAGGGGCCTGAAAACATGGCTCTTCGAGATGGCCTTCAACTGAGTGCTATGTTTTTGGATTTGACGATCGGAACGGACTATGACTATGAGACGGATTATGTCCCCATGTCAAGACGAAGCGGATTTTTAGTATAAGTAGATGTTATGTGTTAGTAGAATGCTGTGTTGTTGTCATGATTTTTGTAAATTGTCTTTTCTATGTTTTTGTACACCGCCACGAGTCGCCCTAGGGCTGAGAGTGGCGGTTAATAAGTGCAAGAAATAAATAAATAAATAAATAAATAAATAAGAGCCAACTTAGGCATTGTAATTGGAGCAGAAGTTGATAAAGAGTTGTCCAGCAACTCTCTGAATGGGATTATACTGGATCAGTTTCAATTGATATGTCCTGTTGATGTGAACAAGCTGCTGGAGCAAGTAATGAAGGAACTTTCTTTCCATAATCTCTGGTTTCTCGGCTTATTGTCTAGGGAGGAAATGCAGTTCAATCCTCAAATATAGAAAATTATCACTGTATCTCTCAGGAAAGTGAATTTTGCATCTTGTTAAAAGAAGCAGTAGTTAGACCACTGCTGAAAAAGTCCTCTCTAGATCCCTTAATAATTACAGACCAGGTGATTAAGAAGACAGTTGCCTTCCTACTCCACCCTGTCTTGGATGACACTTCCTTGACCCATTTCAAACTGATTTCAGAGCAGGATACGGAGCTGACACAGCTATGGTCACATTGGTGAAGGAACTCAATCTTAACATTGACAAGGGGAAGTGAGTTCCTATTGGTGCTTTTAGATTTCTCAGCAGTGTTCGATACCATCAACTTTGGTATCTTTCTGGAATGCTGGGGGCGGGAGACTGAAGACACTTTGTTGCAGTGCTTCCTCCATGCCTCTCAGGCAGGCTCCAGAATTGAGAATAGCTGCTCCTCAAAAAAAAAGGAGCTGTTATGAGGTATCCCACAAAAGGCCATTCTATCCCCAATGCTTTTTAACATTTACATGCAACCGCTGGAAGAGATCATCCCAAGGAATGGAGTGGGGTGCTATCAGTACACTGATGACACCCAAATATCTTTATCTATGCCTTCAAAAACAGCTTTAGTTAAGGAGAACATTTCTCCTCTGAATGAATGCCTGGAGGAGATAATGGGCTGGTTGAAGAAAAATAAATTGAAACTGAATCCAGACAAGATAGAGCTGCTTGCCCTCCTGAACTAGGAATGGAGATGAGTCAGCCAGTTCTAGATGGAGTTAGACAGTGTTCACAGCTTTGGGAGTCCTCCTAGATCCATCTCTCTAAATGTCAGCCCAAGTAGATATAACACCCCTTCCTAGGATCGGAGGATCTAACGATGGTAGTACAAATTCTAGTAACCTCAAGTTGTGCAATGTGCTTTATATTGGGCTATCTCTGTACCAAGTTCGGAAACTCCAAATTAGTTCAAAACACAGCAGCCAGATTAGTTACAGGAACATCTCAGAGTGACCATATTGCACTCTGACTCCAGTGGTTGCCAAGTATTTTCAGAGGAGAGTATAAAGTGTTGATTATAATCTTTATAGCCCTACCATGGTTTGGGTCCAGGTTACCTACAGGATCACCTTCTCCCATATAAACACTGAGGGGACATTTACTCCAACCAGCCAGAACCCAACTGAAAACTATCACCCAGAGGAATCTTTCATTGACTGTCCCAAGACTCTGGAATGACCTGCCAGAAGAGCTTCAACAGCTAAATTCATTGTCAGATTCTAAAATGCAAATAAAGACCCATCTCTTCCAGCCAGACTGCCCAGTCAATTTTATCTTGTGAATTTTATCTGCATTTATCAGTGAATTTTAAGCTGCATTTTAACTATGTGTATCTTGTGTTGTATCTTTTTGTTTTAATGATATTGTATCCTGCTTGGAGCTGCAAGGAGAGATTGATAATAAATACACTGTGATTGTTAGTTATTATCATTATCATTATTATTATTGTGCAGTTGCCACATGGCACTTAAATAACTGAGTGAACTACTCCTTTTAAATATATGTGGCATGTGTTGTTCTCAGTTGCATTGCTGGTGACACTTTATTAATAACTACTTTTCAAACTAATTGATGCCATCTCTGATTTAATGTATTTGTATTTTGTAATGGAGTGTAATGTGATTTCAAAGTCTAAATTGAGTCTTCAGAGTTGTAATTATGGTCTGTTCTCAACTTTTTCCTAGACCTCATAAGTTTTGATGACATTGTATCTACCTCAGAAAACCTGTCACATCCCACAGCAAATAGGCCAAAGATGCCTGGCAGGAGACTTCCTGCTCGTTTCAATGGCAATAATTATGTGAGTACATAAACTCTTATCTTTTTCTAGATTAATCATAGGCATTTGTTTTTCACCTGAAAAGGGTTTGACTTGAAAAGTCTTATTATCTTATTATTTATAGCTTTTCTATCAAAGACTAGTGCTGTACAACCAGAACAACAAATAATAACAGCTCCGTGAAGCAGCCGAAAGGAATGGATGGTTTTGTAAAATAGATGTTGAAAAATGGACTCATCAAATACTGTAAATAAGAAATCTTGTGGATCAGAATTATTTCTTGCCTGTTCTCAGGGAATTTGCTGTTCCTTCAGCTGAGGATTTTATCAGTAACCCTTTCTGGCCTCTGGAATAAGGAAATCTCCTGAGCAGTCTTCTGAGCCCAAATAAAGACCTGATTTCTAGAAATGAAAGGCCCACACAGCCATATAACCCAGAATATCGAGGCAGAAAATGTGGGATTTTGTTCAGCTATGTGGAAGGGGTCTGAGGGCTCTTCTACACAACCCTATATCCCAGAATATAAAGGCAGAAATACCACATTATCTGAGTGTGGACTCAGATAACCCACTGCGATCTCTCAAAGCAGATATTGTGGGATTTTCTACCTTGATATTCTAGGATATAGGGCTGTGTGGAAGGGCCCTGATAGTGACGTTAGTGGGATTACAACCAAAGTAGCCTTAGTAGAAAAATTGGAATGAGCTAACCCAAGGGTGTAAAACGGCATGAAGTCTGGGTCTATTCTTCCCACACTTCAGTGGACTGCATTTGACACATGATGTACTCTGTGCTGACCCCCAGTTTAGCCAAACTTGGACTAAACTCCACTTGAAAACATTGTGTGGTGCTGGCAGGAAGAAAACTATTATTTCCTTACAGTAGAACTTTTTCAAGTAATCAACACCTTGTTACATTCTGAATCACAAGAAAGAAGTGTAGACTATTCAGTAACTTGTTGGAACCAACCTGATGAAAAATGCAGAATTATACAGATACATTGTGACTTGAATACTAAAGTTGATATTCCTTATGCAGATAACATGCCCCTGCTTGTTCAGTAAAATTGTTATTTTTCCATTTGTATATTCCAAAAATGTAGACAGGATCCTTGGCTGAAGGAGTCATTCGTTTTTTGGGAGTTTGGTAGTTTCGACCCTCATTCATAACAATAGAAATGGAGAACTGGTCCGCTAAAGAAAGGGAAAAAGAGATGTCTGTAATAAGGCAGAGTTCCTGTGTGCCTAAAGGGGGTGGTATTAAGAACTTAGATGAGAAGGCTCTTCATTAATGCCATCATAATGGATTTTTGATCAGTTCCTTCTTGGACACATGCAAGAATATGTGATAGCATATCGCTGGAGGAGACAAATTATTTAGATTCACTGGAGTCTTTTGGTCACAGTTTTGGCTGCCTTTTTTGGATAATGGCGTTATTACTTAGAATTGAAATGGGATTCAGTTGGCATTGTTACGTCTTGATGTATTTTTATTGTGGAAAATTTAAATTTAACAAAAGCAAGCTGACACCTTTTGATTGTATTTTGATTGTATTCAGTTCACTACAAACACTTGAGCCAATAGTTGGTACAGATAAAAGAGGGGAAAGGAAGAAGAAAAAGGAAAAAAATGTGGACCAACCACTGGCAGCTCCTGCCACAGATTGTTAATTGAATTCTGTTTTGTTGTCAGGGAGATTCTAAATAATTACTGGTAAAGTTGTAAATCTTGGTTTTATGCAACAAGGAAGAGCTAGGTTGCTTTTGTGTACTTAATTTTTGTGCCACAAAATAACTTAAAAGTAAAGGTTTCCCCTTGACATTAATTCTGGACGTGTCTGACTCTGGGGGGTGGTGCTCATCCCCATTGCTAAGCCGAAGAGCTAGTGTTGTCCGTAGATGCCTCCAAGGTCATGCAGCCAGCATGACTGCATGGAGCGCCATTACCTTCCCGCTGAAGCGGTACCTATTGATCTACTCACATTTGCATGTTTTCGAACTGCTAGGTTGGCAGAAGCTGGAGCTAACAGTGAAGGCTCTCCCTGTTCCCCAGATTCAAACTGCCAACCTTTTGGTCAGCAAGTTCAGCAGCTCAGTGGTTTAACCCACTGTGCCACCAGGGGCTCCTATATAGCTTCACAATTGAGTATTTGGGGTACATCAAATAGTATCAATGACCAGTTAAAGCCATTTCAATTCCAGTTGGCAAGCCAAAGAAGAAGAATAAATTTGCCAGTATCAGGTTTTCCATAGAAGAAAAATATGCTGAGTGATATAAAGATGGACAAAATCTGTAGAGCTTGTCGGTAATAACATTTACACTTAACATGTAGATATATACACTTCTCAAATATGGCTGATCTCTACTTCATCTTTTTGTCTCCTCCAGTCTGCTCAAACATTAAGCATGGATAAAGCTGTGAAGGTGCATAAAGAAGAGGAAGAAAGTGCCAAACTAAAGCCATCTGAGATTAGAAAGGTACAATGCTGACTTGTCTGTATTACTTACAAGAAGATATTTCACAGGTTTAGTTATTATCTTAAAAATATTGTTGTATTCATTGGTATGAGATAACTGATATAGTGAACACAGCAGGTTTGGGCAACTGCCAATGGCTTCAACCTTTATTGGGCTCTGGAGGACTGTACTTACCTCAACCCAGTTGGGTTCATACTAGCCTTCCTCCTTCCCTGTGTTACATACTTGTCTTCAGTAGTTCAACAGCAATTATATAATTACTTATAATCTGGTTTTCATGTTAAAATGTTGGTGATCTGGTAAGTGTGCTTTAGTAATTTGTGATGTTTCTCCCCCTACTTCTTGTTTGAAATCCTCCTCCTAGATTCATCCTACCTCTGTTCATGTCCAGCATTTATTTTTAAAGTTTTAACTACTACATTTGCTCCGGCCATAGTTTTTTAAATCTCTATGTGTTTTGTCTATATGTGATTTATATTATTTGTATTATTTATTTGCTTATTGCTTGCTGTTTTTATTGATGTATTGTTGGGTTTGGCCTCATGTAAGCCACTCCGAGTCCCTTGGGGAGATGGTGGCGGGGTATAAATAAAGTTATTATTATTATTATTATTATTATTATTATTATTATTATTATTGTTATGTGAATGTCAGGTGAATGAAGAGAATTAGAACACTCTGAAATAAATCCAGTTTTCTCTGTATGGCCATTGAAAGGAGTATGCTTTAAATCACAATAGTGTCCATCATCAAAAATAATATTTTAAATTGCTGTTCTGTACAAGGGTGCCAGATGCTTGAAGTACTTTGTTTCTTGTTCGAACAAATGTGACAGCACTCCCCACCATAACTCCTATTTAGATTATTTTTCTCTCTCTTTTTGCAGTCGTTTGTATTTACTTCACCACTTCTGTCTTCGATACCAAAAGCAAATTCTGTTTCTGGGGAAACAAAACTTAAACAAGAAATAGATGAAGGTGGAAAGCCTTCCCTGGAAGAGCTGAGGTCTCAGATCTTTGACCTCCTAATTGTGGTAGAAACATTAAAAAAAGAACATGGGTAAGAAGTGTTCGCATCTTTTCACCAAGCTTGAACGGATCTGAAGATTATCATTTTGCAGCATAGCTATTTCATCTGTATTATCACTGTCATCATGTTTTTATTAGAATATACCTCTAGGATTAATACTGAAGTGATTGTTTGAATCAGTGAATGATCATTAGTTTTCCCAGATTTCAGGATAAGGGCCTACACGTGTAGGCCTGATTTCTCTTTTCTGGGTTACAGAACAAGGAGAGCAGTCTCAGAACAGGAATTTTGCTCTTAGATAATGTTTTGTTATGCTGTGGCCCCTTCCTAAAGCACCGTTACTGTAGATCTTTTGGGGAAGTGCCCTTTTGCCATCTCTTTCTTCTCTTCCTTTACCTCAAAAATTTCCCAGGGCCGAGTGGTCATCAGGAGAAAATACTGTGTTGCCTCAGTATTTCTTTCATCAATAATCAATCACTAAATATGGTAGTGCTGCTAATTTCTGCCTTTTTCACACTGCACAATTATAACACTTTGACAGCACTGTAAGTTTTGTACCTACATCATATATAATCCTTGGGTTTGTAATTTGATTCAGTATTAGATAGGGTATTCTAAATACAGTGGTTGGCAGTTAAAATCTGGGGAGCAGGGTGAGCCCAGCTTCTGCCAACCTAGCAGTTTGAAAACATGTAAATGTGAGTAGATCAATAGGTACCGCTTCTGCGGGAAGGTAACAACACTCCATGTAGTCATGCTGGTCACATGACCTTGGAGGTGTCTTTGGACATCGCTGGCTCTTTAGCTTAGAAATGGAGATGGGCACCACCCCCGAGTCAGACAAGACTAGACTTAATGTCAGGAGAAACCTTTACCTTAATTTTATGGTTATTTTGAAGATGAGAGAATATGCTGCAATATGGCCATTTAAAAAATAAAGAAAATATTGCCGAAAAGGTGTACTGGTTAATGGGAAGAACTAATTTAAAGCAACAGTTTAGGAAGTATTTTTATTTAGACCATTTTATTTGGTTGGGCTAAATTTCCCACATGTTAAAATTAGTGAGGGCAAAAGTGTTCACAGATCTGGGAAGAGTATATGTATGTGGTTTTTTATTCAAAGCAGAGCTTGGAAAATGCATTTGGTTGGGTTGCTCATGTGTGGTGTTAAAAGCAGTGCTGCAGAGGTGTTAAACTAACTGTGGGAGTTTTCATTGCTTCTAGTTCAGTGCTGAACTTGATTTTTTTTCTAACTAATGAACTACTTTCTCATTTACAATATATATTTATACATACACACACACAATTATATATACACACATATAATTTCACAGTGTAATAGTCACCTCTGTGTAATAATCGCACTCTCATTTTACGGTGCATAAATTATAGCCACACAGATATAATTTTCACATGATAGCATTAATTAAGGTTATCTTCAACTTTTAAAGGAGAGAACTGGACAAATTAAAAAAAGAATTGGAGGAAGAGAAGAAGATGCGTAGCCACCTAGAGGTAATGTATTTGAGTAAGAAAATTGGAGGAGTAGTCAGCTTTATTTTGTACGGATTACAATATTTATATTTCTGTGAATATCCAGATAGCATGTAATAAAGCACCCACTGTTTGATCTCGGATGCTTTGCCTTGATCCTTTGTGATAAAGGCATCCTCGTAAATGCACCCTTATGGTACTCATGGGATCCATGCCACTGTAGTTTCTGAACTGCCAGCTCTCTTTCGACCAGGTTAATACGGTCCAAATCAAAGCATTTCCCAGGACACTCTGAAGCCCCTTCTACTCTACCATTTAATTCACATTATCAAACTGGATGTTCAATATTGTCTGCTTTGAAGTGGATTATATGACTCTATACTGCCATATAATCCAGTTCAAAGCAGATAATCTGGATTTTATATGGTAGTGTAGAAGGGGCCCTAGACTTTTTCTACACTGTCCTTACATCCCAGGATCTGATCCCAGTTTATCTGCTTTGAACTGGATTATATGAGTCTCTACTGCTGAATAATCAGATCCAGGGATATAAATTTAGTGTAGAAGGGGCGTAAGAGCTCACTCGGGGCAAGAATTACTAGTTGTCCTCTAAGCAGCTACCTAGAAAACATCATTGAAGCTGTTGGCAAAAGGCTCCTTTGTTGTCTTTTTTTTCCTTGCTTTTGCTGCTGCCCAAAGGCAAAGATGAGCATTTGATAAAAGGAAGAAGGAGAAATACTGACATGTGCTTTTTGTCAGAGAGCAAAACCTACCTTCCTCACAATAGAGGTCAGTAGGGGCTTTTAAAAATCTTGAGCCCCAGGTGAGGGCAGGGAGGCTAATTAAATGAGGAACTGATTTTTTTTAAATCAGGAACTAAATTGGAAGAATATTTGGGAATTTGGGAGCTGTCAACTGTTCCCCCCCATTCCCAAGTTTGGCCCACATGTTTACGTGTATGCATATATTGACTTCCACACCAGTGTTTGTATGCTTATATACAGGCCTCGATCAACATCAGGTAGCTCCTTTAAGATATGTTCAAAATTGTGGTGAGAAAGCAGCCCATACATGCTTAGTTTTAAGGCAAGCTCAGTATTCTAAATAATGAACAGAACCACAGTCACAGAATCAGGGCAAAAGACAGGCAGTGGAAGAAAAATATACAGACACATAGACATTTCCAAAGTAAAAGAAAAAAGAAAGAATTCTTCAGTTTTTGGTCAGCTTTCCCATAATGGGATTTGCTCATGAAAAAAGGCATGGCATTTATTCCAAGTGAAGTACCATATATACTTGAGAAAAGCTGAGTTTTTCAGCCCTATTTTTAGGCTGAAGAAGCCCTCCTCGGCTTATACTTAAGTCAAGGTTATTTATTATTTTACTGTTATTATTATTATTAATTTTATTTATTTTTATTCTATTTATTATTATTACATTTACATTATTTTACTCTATTATTATTTTTATTATTTTTCTATTTATTATTATTATTACATTTATTATTTTATTTATTATTTTACTCCATTATTATTATTATTATTATTATTATTATTATTATTATTATTATGAAATTTACCAGTAGCTGCTGCATTTCCCCTCCTTGGCTTATACGTGAGTCAATAGGTTTTCCCAGTTTTTTGTGGTGAAATTAGGTGCCTCAGCTTATATTCGGGTCGGCTTATACTTGAGTATATACAGTAATTCTATAAGAATAAATCTTATGATAATGCCACTAAGCCCACAGGCTAAACTAAAATGGTTAAAATAAATTAAAAATTCCTTAGAAAGCATATGCAAGAAGTCTGCTTCTATTTTATATAATAAATTGACTCCAGCAGTACCTTCCTTCCAAGGAGTTAAATTATGTATAGAGTTGTGGTTGTAGTGTATATGTAGATGACGCATATCACAGTGAACTTAGTTCAATAAGTACTGTTAAAATATGTTTGATTCCTGGCAAATTTGTGTAGAATTAAGAAGTATTAATTGTGTTATTAACATTTCAATTTGTGTTCTCCACAGGTAGAAATAGAAAAACTCAAGAAAGCAGTCACAACTTCTTGAAAGAGCTATAGACCACGGGTCTCTATTGTGCCAGGAGTTCAGTCTAAAAATGAATGAACTTGTCTTTTTATTTCAAAGAAACAAATTGTTGCATTCCATTTTTTAAAAGAGAATAAATTAATCTTATATTCAGTGACTGTAAGAGAAGAAATGAATATTTTTGTTTTGTTTCCTGCCAATATAGGAGAGGCCTTATTTCTTACTGTGCTGGAATAGCAGACCTTTATTTTCTTGGTTTGCTTGAAATACTACTGAATCTGTATTTAAAAGAGAGAGAGAAGAGGGGTTCTAAATAGATTTTTATTGAAGATCTATAGTATAATTTTTAAGAGACCTGTGCTTTAATTAAGGCAATATATCTTTGCAAAGTAATCTGTTTAAAAAGTCTATAGGGAGGCACATAGTGTAGCCTTGTAGTTATTATAGTCAATACTTTTACCACCATGCTAAAGGGAATATGATATATATATTTCACATTCCTATCCAGGGTTACACGATTGTGCCTGTCATCAGTGAGGGTATTAATAATATACTGTTTTGTAGTTCAGGATGATCATGAAAGTATATTCTTATTATGAAGACGATGAGTCACCAGACCTATGCCATACAATATATAGAGGAAGAGGGATTTGGTCAGTTGCACTATAGGATTCATGAAAGGGATTTATGTTTGGACCACACAAAAAAAGCAACATGATTGATCCTCCAGCTGTTTTATACTTTGCTAGCATGATGTTGGATTCTGGGAGCGGAAGTTCAAACTATCTGGAAGACCAAGGCTGAGAATCACTGCTGGTAGATGCTAAATTTCTGTGCTTTCACAAATTTTACTACAACACTACAATATCTTGCAGTTTTCAATTTTAGCACTAATTATACTATTGTTAATATTTTCCTATGACAATGAAATATTAAGAGCTGCTACCCTGTCAACTAAATGCACTCTTCAAATAAGGGTGCATCACCCAAAAGGCTATCCTAAATAGATCGATAAATAAATATTCACCATGTATACACATAGTACTGCTATGTGTTCTGAAAACAACTCAGTAGGTTTTGTTCAGACAATAGACTTTTTTTCTGCAGATTTTCTATTTCATGCATTCCACTCCTCAATTTTCCCATGTGATGTAATGGAGCTGTTGTAGAACACTACACTGAAGCAGAGGCTAAAAATGCAAACCCGTCCTCTCTCTCTCATTCGTTATGTGTTATTATCCTGAAATCCTGTTTTCAGAGAGATGTTAGAGTGGCCAAATATATAATAAAGTAAAATGCTAACTCTAGAACTGTCGCTGAAAACTTTTGCTTTTCGGCATCTGCTTTTTTAAAAAAAAAATCTGAAATTGTATAGCTTTGGTATATTGTCTCAGAGCTAAATTATAAACTGCTAAATATGTAATTTACAAATTTGAAGTTGCAGTCTTATTTACTCGTAAGTAACTATATGTGTATTTAAGAGGCTGAAGCCTGTTTTCCCTGCCCTCCTGCTTCTCCCATTCTAGAGTAAGAGGGGATGAGGCCCCTCTCACACACCTGTATGAAATCCCACATTATTTGCTTTGAACTGAGTTGTATGGCAGTGTAGACTCAGATATCAAAGCAGATATTGTGGATTATCTGCCTCAGAGGATGCTTGCCATAGATGCAGGCGAAACATCAGGAGAGAATGCCTCTAGACCATGACCATTTAGCCCGAAAAAACCTACAACAACCCAGTGATTCCGGCCATGAAAGCCTTCGACAATAGATCTGTATTTCTATTTGCAGATATAACAGTCATGAATGAGTGATTTAAAATAAGGAATAAAAAGTGTTCTGTATGGGGTCTTGATACTTGGTTGCTTACTATATTGGTGCATAATTGAAGGCACACCTCTATTGAATCAAATGCTGAAAGACTGAGTTTTGTTGCTAGTGCAGACTTTTGATACACAGAATAATAATAATATAGGTATATCAGATGATTATTGGTTAGAGCTATCACTCTTTTAAATCGGATGCTAATTTGTAACTGTCAGCGGTCCAGAAATTTTGGCTTTATGCCCAAACCCATCCCTTGTGTCAGTACTGTTTCTTGTCCCAAAGTGTGCACAGGAGACTTAGGGAAAGGAAAGGAAGTTGCCTTTGAGCTAGTCTTCTTAAGACCCTTCCACTCAGCCCTATAACCCAGTTCAAAGCAGATATTGTGGGATTTTCTGCCTTGATATTCTGGAATATAGGGTTGTTTGGAAGAGCCCTTCAAGAAATAGGAGAAACACAAAAGGAACTGCAAGCTGTTACTCTTTAAATAATCAAAGTACGAGGGGTATTTTTTAAGTAAGGTCCGTTTGAACATAAGTACACAATGAAAGTTTATTTCAAAAAAGTACATTTATTTTCAGAAAGTACATACTTCACTCTATTTTTCGACATAGTTGCCAAGTTTGTTCAAACACTTATCATACCTCTGAACCAATTTTAAAATACCCTGTTCACGAATCCTCACTTCAACTGAAGCCACCAAATAGTCTGTAATCAAAGAAGGGCAACCGGAGCAGTCCTCATCATGGACGTTGTCACAGCCATCTTTGACTTGTCGTACCCACTTACGCACTTTGCTTTCACTCATAACAGTATCACCGTACACTTCACAAATCTGTCGATGAATTTCTGCAGCAGGCAGGTTCCTTGCTGACAAAAACCATATAACTCAGCGAACCTCACATGCGGAGGGTGAGTTGATAGTCTTAAACATTTTTAAAGCACAGAACAGAACCGTACGGGTTAGCTACAGAGCGGAAACTGAGCATAGTTGTTCCCGAGGCATGCCGGTACACGACGCACGTGCTCATTGCAATATGCACGTGAACTACTAGTGTCTACAACAAAACGGACCTTACTTTAAAAATACCCCTCGTATGTTCCTTCTGCTGCCTCCTCCACAATCCACACAAGGCAAGCAATACAACCCCTTCCCTATCCCATTTCTTTATGTGTGTGAGCAACGTAGTGAAATACTTGGGTGCTTCCTGAAAAATTATAAAGTGTGAGAAAGAAGCAGCTTCTCTTCATTCATTTTCAAGGAAAAAATAATCTTTTCCTACCTTGAGTTGGGCATAGGTGATGAACACCACCCTGTCTTCAGAAAAGTTCAGAAATGGGAGTTCAGAAAAAGGAAAGGGAAATTGCCATAAAGGATAGGGAATAATAGAGGAGGCTTTTCTCTTTTCTTGTTAACTTTTTTTTTTTGCAAGCAGCAGTCATTATGCACAGTTACGGCTTCCACTAAAAGAGCTACTTTGAAGCAATTCCTGTGGAAAGAAAAGAGAAATGCTCTTACACATACTCACGCAAGTTGGGCTTTGGGAGTATGTGCCAACAGCAGCACCCTCTTCCTCCTCCTGAAAAAAAAGCTGAACAGGAGGGGAAAGGAAATGATCCTGTTCTTTTCATGTGTTAAGATAGGGAACTTCTTGCTTCTTGATTGTGCTCCTGGCACTTGGCAGCACTTTCCTTCTCCCCCAGGGACCTGCTTTCTCACAATACGAGCTTTTGCTGGAAGTGTGAATTGGAAGGAACTAAATTTGATTTATTGAACCAATGTATTGATTCTTCAGCTGCATCACATGAAAACAATCTCAGCCTCTGCTGTCTTGGATGAATGAATGGATAACGAAAGAGCTCTTCTTTGATACCAACTTGATTGACATTCTCCTCTGATTATGCAAAACAAGAACTGAGCCTAAATGAAATATTATGTCTTTCATATGTTTTTCACTGTAATCCAAACGAGTGTAAAGCAAAACTATTAATTTGTCTGCCTTGAAGCTTGTTAGAAGATCAGTAGGACAAGACAATCAATTAAATCACAAGTGTTAATTACTGAATGGCCTTTTTGCTGTAGCAATAAATGACCAAGTGCAATGATGATTTATTTTTTCAAATCTTCTGCAAGTTGCTACTCTTGAGTATTTTTAGTAACAAAAGTTTCCCTTAACATGACGTCTGTCTTAATATTGTGAATTTGGAGAGGGTATGCAGACATTCCAAAGAATACAAGTTTTTTCAAGCAGTATGCTTCACTGACTTGTTTACGGGTGCTGTAAAATCATGCATGCTGTCAAAATTTCACAAATAAAATTGTATACTATTATTATAATGGTGTGTTTCTGTTGTTGTGAAATATTCAGAGTATGTAGGTGTGATTCAGCTTGATCTACCAAAGAATAAATGCAATCCATTTGAAAATTCCATACTGTAAGACATAAATATGTATGTACCGTGGGTTAAAGCGCTGAGCTTGTTGACCGAAAGGTTGCAGGTTTGAATCCAGGGAGCAGCATGAGCTTCCGCTGTCAGCCCCAGCTTCTGCCAACCTAGCAATTTGAAAATATGCAAATGTGCCATGTCTTTAATTTCACTTTTTTTTATCCATTGGTCCCTTTCCGGTATTTCCTTCTGTTTCCACAGTTTTGCATAGATTATATCTCCATCAGTAGTTCCTAATAAATAATATTCAAGTTTTTTTTGAAATTTTATTTTAAAAATTTGTTGGCATTCTTCATGAAATCATTCCCAATATTTCTGGGCTTCCCTACACGTCCACCAAAGGTGGTAGAAGCTCCCTACATGTTCATTACATTTCTAACAGTATTTGGAAGTATTTTCGTACATTTGATTTAATTTTTTCGGTGTAATATACCACCAGTGGAACATTTTTAGCCAGTTTTCTTTAAGATCAGTTGCATATGTGTAATTTAACTTTTTATTCCACATTATTTCCCAATCTGCCAGCGGTATCGATCTTTTAAATTTTTCTGCCCACTTCAGCATACAGCTTTTTATTACTTCTGTTGACCACTCTAGCAGTTTATCATATATTTTTGTTATACTCTTCTATTTTCAGAATTTTGTCCCAAAATTCTTCCTTATTGTGGAAACCTAATTTCTTGTCCTGATTGTAATATTCTTTAATTTGTAAATAATGTAACCATGTAATATTGGGGAAGTTTTGTTTTAATTCTTCATGTGATTTCAATGATAGTGAATCTTTTCCCAAAAGATCTTTATAGGTTGGTCATTTTGACCAACCCAGAAGTCTTCTTTGTTTGGCTTCCATTGGAGATAGCCGTAGCAGTGTTTTTAAATAGAAATGTCTCCTATACCTATCCCAAATTCTTAGAAGTGATGAGCGCACAAAGTGGAAATTTAAGACATAAATTAACTTTTCTAATAAAGAGGAACACGGGAAATCCGATAAATCTAACAAACTGGCTACAGGTGGAGGAACACGTAGAAAAGAGAAATAAATCCAACCATGAACAATATAGCAATGCGGTCCACAAGGGTGGTCAAACCTTCAGTTTAGTTTTTTTCTTCTCCCTTTTTTTTCTTTTTCCCCATTTTTTTGAAATTTAAAATAAAATCTGGATGATCACATAGATAACAAAGCTGAACACGCGAAGGATTAGAAAGAAGTCACAAGACTATTTTTATTTTTTATTCTTATTTTTATTTTTTCTTATATTTTTATACATATAATTTTTCTTTTTTCTTTCTATCGTACTCTTATTCTCTCATTTTCCCACTTTCCTTTAAAATGATATGTTCTCCCAATATAAATAATGT